GACCATTTGGAAGACTCCTTTTCTCTGTCAACATGAATTGAAGCTGGAAATTGCCAGAGATATCTGATAAAACATCAGGAGGATCATAGTTAAGCCTTGTCATTGAAACAATATCGTATTCTGTTTTGTTGATGATGATGATGATGATGATAATGATGATGATGATGATCAAGAAATAAATTATGTTTGAAGTCTGGAACCGGTACATAATGAACTGTCTTTTCAAAATATTCCCATTCATTATTATTTTCAGATGCCCTTGGCGATGCAGTCTTGCACTGCTCCAGGAATGTTAGAAATGTTCCATAATAACAATGCTCTGATGGAACAGATAATGAAGTGCCTGGAGGCATACTTAGATTCAAAGAGAGTCATATTTCCACGGTTTTACTTCATATCAGATAAGGAACTTCTGGAAATTTTGGCACAGGTAATGTGCGTAAAACTAATTCCATGGACCTGAGTCCTTCTTGAGAAGCTGCCAGTTGTGTAGCTACTTAAGAATTTCCCAACCTTTTATGGAACCTCAAGGTTCATTACTGTGTTCACAAGAGCCTTCCACTGGTCTCTATCCTGAGCCAGATCAATCCAGTCCATACCACCCCATCCTATATTTTTAAGATCTATTTTAATATTATCCTCCAACCTACGTTTTATCTTCCTAATAGTCACTTTCATTATGGCTTTCCCACTAAATTCTTATATACATTCCTCTCCTCCTCCCATGCTACATGCCCTGCCCATGTCATCCTCCTTGACTTGATCATTCTAATTACACTTGGCGAAGAGTACAAGTTATGAAGCTCCTTATTATGCAATTTTCTCCAACCTCTTCATTTCTCTTCATTTCAAATAAATATGCATATAGAAATTTTAATATTAATATCTTCTTTTTATGGCTAAAATGGTGTAACTCTCACTTATTGTATCTTGATTTTATTGACTCTTTTTTTGTAGTATTCTTAAGTTCCATTACCACAAAGTAAAATAGATGCACTCACAGTTATACATAATTTAAGATGGGATGAACTTAAAAGTATATACAGTATGCGCCAAAAATTCAGTACTGAAACTTGTGCATCTCGAATGCGGATGTGCATTTGTCGATGGGGCATATCTGCAGTTGTTGGAAATGGGTCTCTCAACGAAGGAAAAAGTATTCACAGTTGAGTATTATTTCTGCTCATACAGAAGTGGTCAACAGACAACTCGCTTCCTTGGTTTTGAGCAGCCAGATGCATCGTTCAGAAACCGCTACATAATACACATGTGACAATATGGAATGCCATCTCAGCACACAGTATATTAGGCCCCTACTTCATTGAGGATGAGGAAGGCAATGCTCTTACCATCACCCAAGAATTCTACAGGGACATGGTGATCGGACCATTTCTTCAGGATTTTAGAAGGTTCTTTCATGCAAGGGGCCTTCACATGAATAGAGAATGGTATCAACAGGACGTCTTTTCGTTTCAGTACTGACTTTTTTAGCACATACTGTAGTTTGTTTTGTGGTGATAGAAAAACATACACACTTCCCATGTGTCTTCAATGTTAGAAGTATTCTCTTTGCACTTCTGTTTGTTCTGACAAAGGATCCCCATGATGTACAGCCTTACCTTCATAAATGTTTTGATGCTATTGATGCACTGGAGTTCGGAAGTTTTTCAATGAGGGCACAAGAAGGAGCTGAACTAGAACAGGACAGAACAGGAGGACAGGAAGAAGATACTACTGCACCTGAAATTAAGAAAGCTATGAATATTCATACCTCTGTTATTACTGCTATGATTTCAGCAGCAGGAGAGAAAGTAGGACTTGGAAAAGTAAGCATAAGCTGAGTACCATATTTTACAGGTTATCAGTTATGCTTTTCATGAGGCAAGAAAAGCCTTGCAAAGCAGTAAGTCTGTCTGTTTTTCCGGCCATAACTTTCTATAAGTTTTTGTTTTCATTAGAATACCTTTATTGTCCTCAGTATAAAGATGAAACCACTGAGGATGACTCTGAAACAAAGTTTTAAACTCACTTCCCTCAAGATCACCAACATGTCAATACAAACATCTTTAAAATGGAACAGGCTCAGCGGTGTGTATCATTCTATGAAATGCATTAAATTTTCTTGGAGGGTGAGCCATGACATGATTGAAATGAAAACCTAAGTTTCAGAGACTTGTCTCCACCATCATGGAATTCTCCAAAACACTGGCATTTAACTATCATGAAGTAGCTGATGGCTGGAAGGATTTTATTTCATTTGTTAGCTGTGAAAATTTCAAATGATACATATAAAATATTACAGGATATTGTATTAAATCATATTTGGCATACTGGAAGCAAGTTGTTGAAATAAGTTGTGATGGCAAAAAATATATATCAGCTCCAAGGGAAATTAAATATGGAGTACCACAGGGTTCAGTGCTTGGGCCATTATTATTTTTATTATACATAAATGATCTGCCTTTGAATATCAAAGAGGCGAGGATAGTTTTGTTTGCAGATGATATAAATATTTTGGTAACAGCTGAAAAGGAACATATCCTGCAGCAAAAGATAAATAAAGTCATGAACGAGTTATATGGATGGTTCAATGCAAATAATCTTATACTGAATGCTGAGAAAACAATAGCAATGACATTTCATAATAGACAAGAAAGAGATTTGATAAAACCTCAAATCAAATTTGGCAAAATGGAGATCTCCTATAAATGTGAAACGAAATTTCTAGGTATACATATTGGTGAACATATGGAGTGGAAAGCACATATGATGTTCTTAAGCACAAAACTTCTTAAAGCCTGTTACATGATAAAATCCCTTAGGGATGTAACAAGCCGACAGGTTATTAGGAGTATTTACTTTGCTCACTTCCATGCTTATTTGAAGTATGGTTTAATTTTCTGGGGTAGCGACCCAAAAAGTAAAATTATATTTAAATTGCACAAACAAATTGTTAGAATAATTAGTGGTGTGAGTAGATTAGCATCATGTAGACAACTCTTTAAGGATTTAAACCTACTTCCACTACCTTGTATGTATATATTTGGAACAGTATGCCATGTTAAACTACATTTAGAAAAGTTTGAACAAAATAACATAGTTCATAATCACAATACACGCCAGAAGTTAAATCTCCATGCTCAGTTTTGCAGAACAAATGCCTATAAGAAAGGAGTACTGAACATGGGAATAAAATTATACAATAAAATACCAAATAAAATCAGGGAGATAGAAAAAATGAGACAGTTTAACTCTTTGACTGGCACGGGCGTGTTTTAACGCCCAGACGATGCCAGCCGTTCCCTGGCGTTGGCGTGTTTTACCGCTTTGACAATTTCTTCCCTTCTTTGCTCTCTTGGCACTCATCAACCAAAGACATATATATGATAGTTTTTGTGCATGTTTGTAAAGAACCCTTGTAAACTTTGTGGGGGTCTATATTACTGTCAGAACCCTCTGAGAAGGAAAAGGTCAGAAAATATTTCACATTCATTCAGTTTTACCATGGCTTCTTGCAGCAATTGTCTTCGTGTTCCTACAGACCAGCTGGAAAATGTTGTGACCGAGATTTGTTGCGATGAAATAATGATTCCTGAATTAGATGAAGTTTTTAGTGACAATAATACA